TTGCACTATCAACCTTAAGACATGCAACTTAAATCCACCAGCTATTCCACAGGAAAAAGATAAACAGTCTGCTCCCATGTGATTTAAAGACTCTGACAACCTGCTGGTCAACTCTTGAGTCAGTACCGATTCGATGGTACACAACAACTAGGAAGGAATTGCCTGTGAATTAACATAATTTTGATTTGTTTGAAAATGCTTACAGTTTATTCTTAAATGAGTTATACACTACATATTCTTACCTTGGTTAAAAATTATTTTTTTTTAAACCACTGAAGATATTTTCTTAGTTTTCTTTCAGGCTCCAGTGTTGCTTGTAAATAATTTATTCTCTGTATACTATTATTATATTTATTGAATATTTTTTTTGTCATTGGAAGATGTGTTCTTCATCTCTGATGTTCTCTAATACCATTATCATGGAGCTTGTATAAATTTATTTTTAATTATGCTCTAACTTATGGTCACTTCTAAATCTGGACATTACTGTATTTTTTTCCACCAATTCTAAGGACTCCCCAGCTCTTTAAAATCTTGAGTCTCTTCTAATCATTCTTTCTTCTTTTGGAACTCTGATCCATCTTATGATTAGATCTGATGAGTAAAATGATGGATAATTTATATATGAGGGGGAGTGTGGCATCAGGATTGGAGGAGGAATCATCAGTAATGTGTGTCATGTAGGTGGCACAACCCTGCTTGCTGAAACTGAGAACCTAAAGTGTTTGCTGCAGAAGGTCAAGGACTGTAATCTTCGATATGGATTAAAGCTCAACATCAAGAAGACAAAGATTCTCACCACTGGTTCAATTGGCAGCACCATAATAGATGGAGAAGAGATTGAGCTTGTTAATAATTTCAGTTTGCTCACCTCCACAACCAACATTCTTGGCACCAGCAGTCAGGAAATCAAAAAATTACAATGGGAAAATCTGTTTTCTGAGTCCTCTCCAGAGTACCGAGAAGCAGTGTTGTCAGTCTAGAGACTAAGGTGTGCCTGATAGAGGCCACAGTTACTTGCTACACATCAGAGATCTGGACAATGACTAAGGATGGCAGAAGAAAAACTGATGCCTTTGAGTTGTGGTGCTGGAAAAGAGTATTGAACATACATGCCATGGACTACCAAGGAAACAAAAAGGTCTATCTCGGGAGCTGGTTTGGAGTTTCTAGCAGGAAAGCGCAGTTACTTGTATACCCTTGACCAAAAGAAGATCCTCCTTCTATTGGGGATGGTCGTCCTCTTCAACGGAGCATGTAGCTTTGGGAGGGAAGCACATGGATTAGTGAGGGAGAAAGGGGACACCTGACTAGCCATCTAGATAAACTGAATCAACCCTAGTGATGAGCATGGTGGCAGATATTGCAGCCACATCCACAAATAGGTCTGTCTTGGAGAGAGTGAAACCAAGTATTAGAGGCTAATTTTTTTTTTAACTAAAATTTCTATTTTATACTGGTTTGCTTGTAAAGTTCATATGCATTGTTTTTTTGTTGTTGTTGTTGTTATGTGCCGTCGAGTCGCTTGGAACTCATAGTGACCCTATGTACAACAGTCTAAAACTCTGCTCTGTTCTGTGCCAATCGCACTCTCACTGTCACTCCCATCCCAATTGTCCCAGTCACTGAATCAGTCCACATCACAGAGGGCCTTCCCCTCCTGCGCTGTCCCTCCACCCTCCCAAGCATGATGTCCTTCTCCAAGGACCGGTCTCTCTTCACCAAATGTCCAAATTGTGTTAGACAGAGCCTCAGAATCCTTGCCTCCAAGGAGCCACACGGTTTAACCCTTTCCAGATGAATCTATTTGTTTCCTAGCAGTCCATGGTACCCTCAATACTCTTCTCCAGCACCACAGTTCAAAGGCATCAATTCTCCTATCCTTCTTGGTCATTGTCCAACTCTTTGATGCATAACAAGTGAATGCAAAGACCATGGCCTGTATCAGACGCACCTTAGTCTCCAGAGAGACACCATTGCTCTTCAGGACTTTGGAGAGGTCCCTAACAGCAGACTTTCCCATGGCAATGTGCCTTTTAATTTCCTGGCTGCTCATGCCAAGAATGGAGCCAAGCAAACTAAAACTACAACATTGTTTTTTACACCGGAGTTTTTTCTATTTGCTTTACTCACCCCTCTCTCTATTCATAAAATAGTGTGACCCTATAATTATCCACCTGCCCATCCTCACGTCTCTGCTCCTACTCTCTCCACACCTTGGATCTTCATACACGTTTTACTAGTTATCTTTCCAGTTTTACAATAATGGCTTTATTTGTCCTAATGGGACTGAGTTAGTTCATTGTTGTTGATTGTCATTGAGTAGAGAACAACTCATAGCAACCGTATGAACAAAAGGCCTGAAGCCTTTCTATAATTATTGTAATTTATCAAAGTTCATAGAGTTTTCAGAGGCATGTGGTTTAAGAAGTGAATGCCACTCCTGTCTAATGTCCAACCACAATCAAATGGATTGACAAATTGTGGTATGTTCATATGATGAAATACTGTGCAACGTTCAGGTACAGTGATTTTGGAAATTACTACATAAAAATAAGTTGCACTGCTTTGTTCTGCTGCACATAAAAGTTGCAGTGAGTCAGAGCCAACTTGTAGCAACTAAAAAGCACAGCAGCAAAGCTTAAGTTCACCAGTGTTTTACTCTCCTTATCTTACTGGCTTTCCATTTTCAGCTTCTGCTTGGTGCTTACTTTCTTGTCAGCTCACCAGAACATATGTAAACATTTCATATAGTTTATTCATCATTTTATGTGTTCAGTTAGATGTTCTGACAGGGAATTTAGCTTGTTAAACTACTTGAAATATAAATCTCATGATTCACAAATAAAAAGAATAAAATGTACAACTAAATTGGAAAAAATTAACTGATTAAGAATGCTAAAATTCAGGAATGTGTCATTGTAGGAAAATGTGCAACATAAAATTGAATTCTTAGTCATAAAGATTTGGAGAAAATGAATATCCTGACATGTATAATTATCCTAATGGAGAATAACGGATAGTATTAAGATTAGTAGTGCTCAACACAAATTTGAGAATTATTTCAAAGAAGGGATAGGGTAGTTTTAGAGTAAGTATAAGTTACTTTACTTGTTCATAGTTTAGTAACAGTTTATTATCATATTATTGATGAAGTTACTCTGAAACTCCAATTATTGATGAAGTTACTCAAACTCCAATTTCTCTGTGTGTGGAGAGTAAGGTTTATGCATTTATCGTATTTTTTTGGCATAGGTTATTCTTAAGGGATAAATACAAGCATTTGCTGTGCACCAAAGCCTATCGCTTGTGATTCTGAAGCCTATTCCCTGTAGTATTCTGAAACAAACAGAGGAGTCTATAATATGGTTTGTGACAGGATCAAAACCTCATGAAACCCTTTAGATTAGTAGGATTACTTTATGGAAACTTCTCAAGGTTGCATCTCCATATTCTCCAATGTGAAGTTGGGAGCTATGTGCATACTTTTGCGTATATATTTACTTTTTTTGTCAGAAGATTTTTGAGTATATATATATATTTAAGATATGTGGAATGGGAGCTTTGTTTTGCTTATAAATTTGCTGATAATGAGTTTCTGCTGTGTATAGATATTTATTTTTAACAGAGTTTTAACCCATGAATTGTATTCTCATTACATGTACAATCAACTTGAGAAAGAAAAGTATACATATGTATATTTGTATGTTTTTAGGAATAATTTAATGCTAAACTTTGTGATAAACCTTGAACCAAATCCACTGCTGTTGAGCCAGGGTCAGCTTCTGGCGACCCTCCGCAGGTTTCTCAGCCTGTGCTTACCTTTACAGAGGAGACGGCTCATTTTTCTCACATAGAATGGCTGGTGGATTCAAACCACTGGCTTTTCAGTTAGCAGCTCAACTCAGAAGGCTCTATCAGTAGTAGTTGAAAGAAGGTTGAGTTTTGTGCAAAGTTGGCAGTGGTAAGTTTTTCTAAAATGAAATCTCAGATAGGTACTCAAAAAAATTGATATAGAGCAGAAACATGTTTCCAAACTGTGGCATAACAGGACGTGAGAAGGAGCACAAGGAGAAAATAAGTATGAATATAAGTAATCAGGTCACTGGAAGGATAGAGACATGTTGTTGTTATGTGCCGTCGAGTCACTTGCGACTCATCGTGACCCTATGTACAATAGCCCTAAACTCTGCTCTGTCCTGTGCCAATCGTACCATCTCCCATACACCCATCCCAATTACCCCAGTCACTGAATCAATCCACCTCATAGAGGGCCTTCCCCTCCTGCACTGTCCCTCCACCCTACCAAGCATGATGTCCCTCTCCATGGACCGGCCCCTCCTTACATGTCCAAAGTATGTTAGATGGAGACTCAGAATCCTTGCCTCTGAGGAGCTGCCCAGTTTGACCCTTTTCAAGATGAATCTGCCTATTTTCCTAGCAGTCCATGGTACCCTCAATACTCTTCTCCAGCACCGTAGCTCAAAGGCATCAATTCTCCCTCTATCTTCCTTAGTCATTGTTCAACTCTGATGCATAACAAGTGATTGCAAAGACCATGCCCTGTATCAGATGCACCTTAGTCTCCAGAGAGACACCATAGAGGAGGAAAAAGATCCAGCAAGGTTAAGAATAGATTTTTTAGAAAATTTAGAAACCAGTGAAACTAGTTTATGTTTTATATAGTAACCAATATGGAGCTACTGAAGATTCTTGGGCTGAAAGCCAACATGTTAGAAGTCCTGTTAAAAGATAATAATGTAGTTATTAATGTCCCTAAATTGTATACATAAAAGGTAAATTGGCAAATATCTAAGTATCTATATGTGTCACCATAATAAAAAAGCCATTAAAAACCCTTGTCCTTATTAGACTAATGATTTAAAGAATACATATTTTATATATATATATATATATATATGTATATGCATTATATATACACATATATGATTTAATATAATATTAATAGAAAATATATTTAATTTTTTTGGTTTTTTTAGAGGAATTCCAGGGAAGAAATGTGGTACTATCATACTTACAGCTGAGGAATTAAATTGCTGCAGGGTAAGTAAATATGTCTTTAATTAAAAAACCATTTAGAACACTTTTCTGATAGGGTATTTATCTTTTTTCTTGTTAATTTTTTATTGATTTGCATATAATCATACATATGCATCATATTTCATTTATGTATATTGTGTTTTATACACTGATAAGCATTGTGCTTCATTTGTATACATTGTACTTTATATGATTAATTACACTTGATCCATGCCTATTATCACTCCATCTTTTCAAGTCCCCATTGCATCTTTCCCATTTCTTTATCCCCCATCCACCCACCAGCCTCTGCTTTCCTGACAATTTCTCTCCCTCCCTCCTTTTCTTCCCCTGCCGCCAGCCCTTCTCTTCTTCTTCTTACTGTTTTGAACATTTATACAAATCCTGCTAAGTTGAGGAGAGACTGTAACTCTTATGAAAGATGATGGGATTGCAAAATTGTACAGCCTTTATGGAAGTTACTTTGATGTTTCCTCAAAAAGCTGACTATAGAAATCCCATATGACCTAGCTTTTCCTCTACTAAGAATAGACGCTAAGAAAATTACATATTCATAGCAGCATTATTGACAATAGCAAGAAAATGGAAGCAGCCCAATGGCCATTAACAAATGAGTGGATTGAGAAATTGTGGTATATTTACACAATGGAATATTATGCTACACTGTTGTGTTGTCTTGTGCCATCTAGTTGTCTGTGACTCATGGCGATCCTACGGACAATAGATCTGAAATGCGCTCTATCCTGAACCAATCTCGCTGTTTCCAAGATACCTACCTCTATTACCTGTTACTGTGTCAATTCATCTCATCCAGAGTCATCTTCTCCTGCACTATCCCTTCAGGCTTTCAAGCATGGTGTCCTTCTCCAGGGACTGGTCCCTCCTCGCAACATGCCCAAAGTATGTGAGACGGAGCTTCAAAATCATTGCCTCCAAGGAGCAGCTTGGTTTCACCCTCTCTAGGGTAAACCTGTTTGTTCTTTTGGCAGTCCATGATATGTTGAGTACTCTTTTCCATCACCATAACTCAAAGGCATCATTTCTTCTTCTGTCACATTTAGTCATTCTCCAGGTCTCAGGTGATTAGCAAGTTCTTGTGAAGATCACAGCCAGTATCAGACATACCGTAGTCTCTAGAAAGAAACCATTGCTATTTAGCACTCTTGAGAGGCCCCTGACACCAGCCTTGTCCACAGCAATTTATCTTTTGATTTTGTGATGGCTGGTATGAGGACTGTTAATTGTGGAGCCAAGTAAGCTGAAATTGCTAACAACCTCAGCTCTTTTCCATGTCTCATGGTGCTGCTGAATGGCCCAGGGTGAGGATCTTTGTCTTCTTGATGTTGAATGTCAGTCCATATTTAAGACTATAGTTCTTGATCTTTTACAGCAAACATTTCTGATCCTCCTCAGTATCTGTGAGCAAAGCTGTGTCATCTGCATAACTCAAGTTGTTGATGAGTCTTCCTCCAATCATGATTCTACGTTCCTCCTCTTAAAGTCCAGCCTCTGGAAAATGATCTGTTCTGCATACAGATTGAAAATGTTTGGAGACAGGATGCATCCCTGAAGCCCTTTTTTTGGTTTTTAACCATGTAGTGTGTCCTTACTCTATTTTGAGGACTGCTCCTGGTTCAAGCATAGGTTTCATGAGCATAATCAAGTGTTCTGGGACTCTCATTATTCTCAAGGTTAGGCACGGTTTGTTGTGATCTACTGAGTCAGATGCCTTTGTATAGTCAATGAACCACAGGTAGGCATTTTTCTGGTACTCTTTGCTTTCAGTCAGGATATACCTGACATTGGTGATAATGTCTCTGGTGTTTTGGTGTCTTCTAAATCTGGCCTGTATTTCTGGTAGTTCTCTGTCAATGTACTGCTCAGTCATTTTGGGATAATCTTCAGCAGGATTTTGTTTGCATGTGATATCAGTGTATTTGAGAATTTCTACACTCTGTTGGATCACCCTTTATTGGAATGGGAACAAATATGTATATCTTCTAGTCAGTTGGCAAGGTAGTTGTCTTCCAGATTTCTTGGAACAATGTGGTGAGCATGTCCAGAGCAGCATCTATCTGTTGAAATATGTCAGTTTAAATGTATCAATGAGTTTATGCGGCCTTTCTTTTGCCATCTCCTTTAGAGCAGCTTGATCTTCCTCATTCATCACCATTACCCCTTGATCATTTATAGTTTTATAAAATTCTTCTGTGTCAGCCAATTCTTTTTGGTACAGTAACTCTGTGTACCCTTTTTATCTTCTTTTAATACTTTTTATATCATTCAATATACTTCCCATAAAATGTTTTCTGTCAGGTATTGTTCTAAAGCTGAACATACAAACTAGGATAGACTAAGAAGGGTTCTGAAGAGCAATGGTGTCTCTCTGGAGACTAAGGTGCATCTGATAAAGGCCATGGTCTTTGCAGTCACTTGTTATGCGTCAGAGAGTTTGACAATGGCCAAGGAGGATAGAAGGAGAATCGATGCCTTTGAGCTGTGGGGCTGGAGAAGAGTATTGAGAATACCATGGACTGCTAGGAAAGCAAACAGATTTGTCCTGGAAAGGGTTAAACTGGGTGGCTCCTTGGAGGCAAGGATTCTGAGGCTCCGTCTAACATACTTTGGACATGTTGTGAGGAGAGACCGGTACCTTAGAGAGGGACATCATGCTTGGGAGGGTGGAGGGACAGCGCAGGAGGGGAAGGCCCTCTATGAGGTGGATTGATTCAGTGACTGGAATAATTGGGATGGGAGTGTCAGAGACAGTGCGATTGGCACAGGACAGAGTGGAGTTTAGGGCTGTTGTACATAGGGTCGCTATGAGTCGCACGTGACTCGACGGTACATAACAACAACAACAGCAAGAAGGGTTGGCCATTTACTTCCAAAATAATAGGCCTTCAGAAACCCCTATGTGCTAAAGGAAAACACTTAGAGGAGCTGAACAGATATGGCAGCTATGCTCAGGTAGGGCTGAGCCCTCATATTGGGAAACTTCATTGTGGAGGAACGGTTATAAGCAAATATTAATGATTCAAATGTGTAATATGAGAAGCATGAATGTAGGGAAATTGGACATTGTTAAGAGATGGAAAGCATAAATATTGATATACTAGACATGGTGAAATGAGATGTATCAGCATGGAACATTTTAAGTCAGGCAATCTCCTATGCCTATGAGATTTATGATGAGATGAAAAGGTGAGGAAAAATGGGGTAGCATTCATAGTTAAAAGGTAATTTCTATATCCATTCTGAAGTACAATGTTATGAATGACAAGATAATATCAGTACACATAGAAGGAAGTCTGATTAATACCACTAGCATTCAGAGAACCAAAGAGTAGGAAATAGATTACTTCTACCAGCATTTATAGTGGGAAATCATTTGAACATGCAATCAAGGTACATAAACAGTAATAGGTGACTGGAATGCAGAAGTTGGTAACAGGTAAGAAGGAACAGTAGTTGGAAAGCATGGACTTAGTAACAGATAAGAGGCTGAAGATAGAATGATAGAATTTTGCATAATTAATGATTTATTCATTGCAAATACCTTCTATAAGAAACATAAATGGTGACTTCACTTGATTTTACACACAAATGAGATTGACTACATCTCTGTGGAAAGAGAGCGTTACTGGAGAAGCCTGATACCTGCTGTGAAAACTTTGCCAGGTACTGACTGTGGAACAGATCATCAACTACTCTTATACACAAGAACCAAAATTTGACCTCGAGCCTATCCTACCTGAATTTAAAAATCACCTCTGGAACAGGTTTAAGTCCTTGAACATTAATGAGCAAAGACCAGATGAGCTGTGAGAAAATATCAAGAATATTATTCATGAAGAAAGCAAGAGGTCATTGCAAAGACAGAGGAGGAAGAAAAGACTGAAATGAATATCAGTGGAAACCCTGAATATTGCACTCTGTTGCTAAGAAGCCAACACAAAGGGAAGAAATCAGGAAATTAAGGAACTAAACAGGATATTTCAAAGGGGAGCTTGGGAAGAAAAAGCAAGGTATCATAATGAAATGTGCAAAGAGCTGGAGACAGAAAACTAAAAGGGCTGAAATCACTTAAGCTGGCATTTCTTAAGCTGAAAGAACTGAAGAACAAATTCAAGTTTCAGGGCTTAAGGATGGCATGTTCAGAATATTGAATGATCCAAAGTGCAGTATAAAGGAACAACATTTTCATAAAATAAAAGATGGGAGACTCTGGAAGGCATTGTGTTGTTATGTGTCATTGAGTCGTCTGCGATGCATAGTGACTGTATGTACAGCAGCTCTGAACCCTGCCCTGTCCTGAGCCAGTATCACTAATTCCGGCACACCAACCCTCATTACCCCAGTTACTGTATCATTTCATCCCATCCAGTGTTTTCCTTTCCTGTGATTTCCCTCCATCCTTCCAAGCATGATGTTCTTCTCCAGGGACCAGTCTTTTCCTGGCCACATGCCCAAAGTATGTGAGACAGAGCTTCAAAATTCTAGCTTCCAAGGAGAAACTTGGTTTCACGATCTGCAAGATAGACCTATTTGTTTTCTTGGCAGTCCATGGTATGTTCAAGACTCTCTAGCAACACAGTTTGAAGGCATCAATTCCTCTGTAATCCTTAGTCATTGTCCAGCTCTCTAATGCATAGTAAGTAAGAGTGAAGACCATGACCTAGATCAGGTGCACATTAGTCCCTACCTGACATCGTTACTTTTCAGCACTCTGGAAAGGTCCCTGACAGCAGATTTTCCAATGCAGTTTGTCTTTTGATTTCCTGGCCGTTCCTGTTAAGAGTTTTGATTATAAAGCCAAACAATTTATAACTCTTAAAAACCTCAATCTTTTCTCCATCCATCAGGGTGTTGTCAGTTGGCCCAGAAGTGAGAAATCTTTTGTTTTCTTGATGTTGAACCTCAATCCATACTGAATACTACAGTCCTTGACCTTCTGCAGCAAGCACTTCAGGTCTTCTTCAGTTTCAGCAGACAAGGTTCTG